GATGGGTTCACAAGCATGAGGACAAGAGGGACCAAGCGCCATGAATGAATGCAGACTTCAATGGTCAACCCTTCAAACCTTCCTAAATGACCCAGACACCTCCAAGTCTACGACTCTTCATTTAATTACTTTATAAAAATCTAATATAACAAAACCAATAATAGAATTATGGTTAGTATTCTTTAATTTAATTTTTTTTATTTAAATAGTTAGAATTATGGGGAAAATTTGACTTTTTTAAACTAAAATATAAGCTCATATTTCTCTTTTTCTAACCATTCTCCCACTTTCTATCGCTAAGCCCACGTTGCCGGTAAATTACATTTTGTACCGAAGTAGTACAAATTCAATATGTCAATCCGGCACATTTGTTGTCGGATCGGAATAATTTCAATATCAAAAGCCAGTCTGGCACATAAACATGATTTACCGACACATTTTGTTAAAAGTCGACAAACACATGTGGAAGCCAGATTGGCACATGTTGGATATCACATTTTGGGAAAGAAATAAGGATAAAACGGGGGTATGTGAACAAAGGGAAAAGTGAAAGAGACTGAAAATTGAGTAAGTTGAAAAACTTAGAGCTCTTAACGGATTTCAAAAAATCGGATATTTTTGGAAAAAATCATGTTTTAAACATAAGACTCGCTAACTATGGTGTCAACTCTTACATTAAGTATCATTTTCTCACGTGCTCAGGCCATCGAAAGTTCTGAATGTTATAATTTCCTTACAATTAAAAATATTTTAATTATGGGTTTGCTTGAAAATGCTATACCAATAGAAAACAAAAAGAAAAAGAGAAAATTAAGTAAATATCCGTTTTTCTTTCCGTTATTATCAAAATACCAAGTACTTTTTGTTATTACTCATGTATGGTAACAATTGTTTTAAAAAAAGACAATTTTACCCATTTTCGGTTTTTCAAAAACCTAATTTTTTTTTAATTTCGGTTTTTAAAAAACCGAAAACTTTAAAAACTTTGTTTCTCTAAAACCGAAAAGTTTGAAATTCCGTTTTTTAAAAACCGAATTTCTTTATTTTTCGATTTTTCAAAAACCAAAAATAGTCCCGAGTCCTCGTCAATTTAAAACATTATGTTCTATGCGTCTCTCAAAAAACCTATCCTGCAAGAAAGTCTATAAGTTGTGGTATGCAGCCTTAAATCTAGAGAAGCGTTCATTGGACCAGGAAAGGTCTTAAAGCACCAGCTTAAAGGCTTGCAAAAATATTGAAATGCTTAATTACTGACTTATGTACGAGTTGAGTTTCAATTTTGATACTCCTCTGATACGTAGGATTCTGAGTTTCGTATAACGAAATCCAAAATCTCACTTTAGAGGATGTTAATGTACGTGTTGTATCATTTCCAGATCTAAGATCTGCGAGATTTTGTCACATCTTCTTTCTGGGTTTTGCTTTATAATGCTTTGTGTGTGTCATATATGCGTTCTAGAATTTATCTTACGAGCTTTTCCAATGCTTTATAATGCTGTGTGCGTGTCATATATGCATTCTATAATTTATCTTACCAGCTTTTCCATGTGTTGAGAGGTTTTTTGAGATACGCACAGAGCCATAGCCATGGAGAGGCTAACATAATGTTTTTCAAAATTTTAAAGTTTTCAATTTTGAAAAACAGAAAATAGGTAAAACAATATCAAAATATATATATATATATATTTTGAAGTTAAAAAAATGAACATATGAGTAATAACATAAAGTATTTAGTATTTTGCTAATAACGGAAACTAAAACAGATATTTACGTAATTTTTTTAAAAAAAAAACATTTTAATTGTCCTCAAATTATCATGATTTCCTTAAAAATAACAATTAGAACTATGCCTTTAGTAGAAAATGAAAAGTACCAACATTATAGTTTTGGTCAGTATTTTAAAATCCAGATTGGTTGGGTGGATTTTTCATCGCACATTATCATGATTGTGAAAAATAATAAAAATAAAAAAGTTTAGACTAAGGGTTTATAGAGGATCTAAGAAAATATGAGATAAGTTTTTTAAAGAAAGGAAGCATAAGGGAGAGTTTTAGAGGAAGCCGAGTGTGTAACTATACTTTCTTGGAATTGGCTCGATATCGGCTTATTCGAAATTCAAGTATGCAATGCTAGAATACTTTTGGACTAGGGAGAATTCTCAATAATTATTTAATGGAAAAGTATACAATGACCATTTATGTGTGGTAGAAGGTGGTCAATTATGACCATTAGATGTTAAATTAGATGGATACATTTATTTCATTGACTAAGCTCAAACTTCAAAAAAAAAATTTCTCGAATTTTATGACACACCCAAGCGATTATATTTCAAATCGGATGGGTGTAAATAATTGTAAATCTTGTATCAAAAGCAAATGATCTTATTGTATACAATCCCTTATTTAATTTTGGATTTAGTAGAATTTAGAATTATTTATGAAAAGGGATTTTCACCATGATCCTTACTTTAGTTAATTATTTGCTCTAAAATTTAAAAACAATACTCGGGCTATGCTTGTCCTTTCTAATATTTTCATTAAGGTTTTGTTAAGCTACACCACTTGAAGGTGTATATTTTTAAAGTCTCAACATTTTCTTGACACTTCGATACGTTTATCTTATAATGTAATAACTTTTGTCTAAAGTACTTTAAGTAAAAAATCAGTCCAAGTTAAATAGTAATTTTTAATAAAAATAAAAATAAAAATATTGATTAACAATAGTGAATAATACATCATAAATATGGTGAGTGGCATCATCTATATGATATTTTTGACCTTTTTAAATAACAAAAAATGGCCTTAAATTGAGAATTTTAAAAATATATGAAACCTTTTTAATTATGACGTCTAATTACCAAAAATAATAATTAGATTATGACATCATAGAAGAAGCTTCGTCGTCATGCCTCGGAAGTAAGGGGTTTTCCGTCATTTTGAAATGTAGTAAGTCATTTGCGTAAAAGTTTTGGGTACTTTGTGCTCGCCCACCAAACGTTGAAAAATCTACGGTTTGGCCGGTAAATCTCCACGAGTTAAAAAGCGTAGTTTCGAGGGACCGTCGCGTGTTGTAAATTTACTCGCGTTTTCTTATATTATGATTATATTACCCTTTCTTCTTTTTGAAATAGCAAGGATACCCAAACCCCTATGACATTTCCTGTAATTTAGTACGGATTCTTTTGAGATACAAAATGTCCATTTTTATCCTTAGTCTTTTAGAAAATGACTCTGGACACAAATTTCAGTACAATTATTCGGTAGACGAAGTCTGCAGACGAGAGTATGAAGACCTGAAACTTGGGAAATATTTTTGGGCCAAATTTGCTTTGAATTGAAGGCAATCATGAGTAGTTTTACTTAAATTTTGGTGAATTTGTGTCAATTGATTAGAATTTTGATGAAGAGATTGTGGATAGAAATTAAAGCTCAAGAAATTGGAGGCCATATAAAACCTGTAAAATGCTTGATAAACTTTGAAAACCAATATATATCGCATGGTATGCTCGATATGGGGCATGAATCAACAGTACCCACCCTTTCCATTTGCTCATTCCATATCCATGACAATGGATGTTGAGATCGATCAATATATTGGGAGCCTCTTATTAATATAGCTTCACCTTTAGGTTTTTTTCTTTAAACATGTAATGAGGCTTTTTACGTTTGAACGTTTGAAACAAGAAGGTTATAATCACTTCTAGCTATTAATATAGCTTTACTTTTAGGTTTTTTTCCTTTAAGTATGTAATGAGGCTTTTTACGTTTGAAACAAGAAGGTTATAATCACTTATAGCTGTTAGTGAAATATGGTAACCTGTATCCATCATTTCTCTATATGAACTTTTTTTTTTAATTAAATTCTCTGAGCAAATTTTAAAGAAACTTATTCTTGGATCTCAAGTTGTTAATGGCACACCCGTTTCACATATAATGACTAGCATTGATCATACATTCTTCTGCTAAATCGTTTTATCACTATGTAGTATAAAATGCCTCTTACTCATCCAATCAACAACTAAGAGATTCGAGGAACATGGGGACTAATTGAAATAATGAACCTCCTAGGAGATTCATTATTTCAATTGAGATAATGAAAAATCATTTTATTTTTTTATTCGGAACCTTAGGCGGTTCTCGAAAAAAGATAGCAAAAAAAATTATCCCTAGAGTCGATACCAACAGGAATGTATAAACCAATGCTTTCATAGATTTGATTGTGGTTTACAATGAAATTATATATAGCTTTCATACCTGTTTATTTGGGATCATTTTCCAAAAAAAGAGTAATTTGAATCAATATTTTAGATTTCCAGTACTCCATATGAAATATACCAAACCAAATAGACGCGAGACAACACATTGTGTAGCACCTTCTCATAAAATTCTACTCCCATAAATTTTCTTTATGTGTGCACCCTTTAGATTTTTGCACAAATGCAAATGAATTTCCACAAAGCCAATTTGGATGGATGTCATAGCTCAATTTTTTTAAAAAAAATTCAAAGTTTTCAATAATGCACCAATATCACAGTGAAAAATCTAATTAGAAAACCATAGTGAAGGAAATGGGAGATTTACTAAAGTCCCAACAATGTATTCTTAGACAAATCAATTCAAAAATTAGTTTTCTCTTAATATAGGTGATTTTCAAAGAAATCATGGCAAACAATGTATTCATAGACAAATCAATTCAAAAATTAGTTTTCTCTTAATATAGGTGATTTTCAAAGAAATCATGGCAAAAATTCTTAATGACAACATTTTTTTGCATGTAAAAAAGAAAAATTGAAGAACCCCTCAAGGATAATCTAGTCCATCACTAAGGAGGAGGAGCCCAGGACGATTATGTCATTAAACGAGTTGACAGGGGTATTAGGGCTTGCATAATCTCTTCATCATTTGTTTCTTTGCGCCGATTTCTTGTGCCTTTCCGGTCAAACCCTCGCCTTTCCACGCTTAATCCACTCTCTCTCTAGACTCTATCCGCCTCTTTCTCTCTCTAGACTCTCTCTCTGGTTTACCAGTGTCCTTTTTACAGAGAATGCATGTCGTTTAAAGCCATCTGCTCTCCTCCTAATTATTGCATCTCCCCGTTTCTCCAGGCCTTTTTGCCTTCTCCCAAAACCCTAATTTATAGCTTATTAGGGTTTTTTCTTGTTTCATTGGCATTTTTGCATAGTGTTTTCATTTCTCAGAGCAATCTCCATGGGGAACTGCTGGAGTTGGAATTGGAGTGCTAGGGTTAAAGCAGAGAGCCCTTTACACAGTGTCCCTGCTTCAGGTCAGTCATCAGTGGTACTTTAGGTTTAAAGCGACTTTCTGGGGTTTCTGATTCTTAGTTTTTTTCCTGTTTTTGTCTCTTTTTTTTTAATATTTGTGTCAGTTTCTGAAAGCATGGCTGAGATCTAGGGTTTTCTTGGCGGAAGTTTTAGCTATTACCTGAAACTGTATTCATATTTGGGATTTGTCAAATTTGCTATTTTTGTCGGCACAAATTTAGGGTTTCCGTGTCTTGATCTTTCTTGTTAGTGCCTGGACAGTAGTCAGATGACCGTTTTTTTCAGCAAGCTTGCGGGACTGATAATTTGGTAAAACACAGATTTTCGAGGGGTGAATTCTTAGTTGCCTTACGAAGTCCGAATTTTTCGGCAAAATTTCGCAAAAATAGGAGAGTTTCAGAGACCGAGATATGGGGCGACTATTTGGGGAAAGCTTTGCGATTTCTGCGTTGGTGGCGATTCTTGGTTTAAAATTTACCTAAAAGGGAAAAGAAAAAGAATAATGAGAACTGAAAATGGAAGATTGAGAGCTCTCAATCTCCACGTTTGAGACGGATTTTTAGGGTTTAAGTGTTTTTAGGCATTTATGGCTCTTACTTTGGTTAAGACTGGGGCTTCCATGAAATTTAATTTTGGCGAGGTTTACGGGTTGAAATTATTTGGGTTTTATTTCTGAACATTCTATAATCCTATCAATCACTGCTGTTGAATTGATGGAACTGTAATGAGTTGAACGATTCAGATGGTTGACTGGTTTTTTACTTGATCTAGGATTTACGATTTTCTACAGGAGTAGTAATGGCAGATTGGTCTATGATCATTTCAGTGAGGACAAACCCTCTCATGTGAATAAATAAATGACATATTGCAATTAAATGGACAATTATTTGGATTCTGTCGAATTAAATGACATCTAGTGCTGATTATTGTTAACCGCATTTATGTGCGATCTATTAACTGCTTGTTTCTTCTTATGTAATTATTTGAATGGGATTTGTTATCGTCTTGTAGTGATTTATAATTATTTTGGAATTACTAGGCCGTGGAATTGGGTAATGTTTTTGTTCAGATCTGCTTGATGTTTTTCATGGAGAACTTTTTCTATCAATAACATTAATGGATTTAAACAGTTTACAAAAAAAAACATTAATGGATTCTAGGACCTTAGGAACTGGGTGAAGGGTCTTGACAGGATATACATGAAAGCCATTTTTTCCCCCAATTTTGGTTATCTTGGTTTTTCTGAATATAATTGGTGTTTATTTCTTGTGTTTTTTAGGAATTCAGTAAATGGTATATTTTTTATCAGCGTTTACCTCTGCATGTTTTGGTGTTTTTCTTTACCTTCTTGTTGGAATTACAATATTAGGTTCAGTGAGTGGACATTGTGGAATGGAGAATTTGTGTGCACCGTAATATACTGAATTTTTTTTTTTTTAGTTTCTTCCATTTCTACATTTCACATTACACGCTATGATTATGAATCTATTTAGCTGCTAATTGTTGTTTTTTGGGTAAGTAGCGGCTAGTTGTTTACTTTTGAATTTTGATGTACTACGAATACTTTTATATTGTTTGATACCTTTTCTTTCCACGCTGTGAAACGGGTTTTACTTTGATTATATGTTGAGTTACTGGAAACCCAAAACTTGCCTTTATCCACCTTTATTTCCTTTCATTTATTCTTGGTAATACTTTTTGAAGTTACTTTTCAATGGGTGGTTATACTTATTGTTCTTGATCCCATTTTTGCAGGGTTAGATTCAAGGTCTAGTAGCAAAGATGGGGTAGATCCAAATTCACCACCATCAGGCAGTGTGCCTCCAACTCCAAAGAGTGAGGGTGAGATATTGCAATCATCAAACGTTAAGAGCTTTAGCTTTGCAGAGCTCAAGGCAGCTACAAGGAACTTTAGACCCGACAGTGTGTTGGGCGAAGGTGGCTTTGGTTCAGTGTTTAAGGGTTGGATTGATGAACACACATTTGCTCCAACCAAGCCTGGGACTGGTATCGTAATTGCCGTGAAGCGACACAATCAGGATGGTTATCAGGGTCATAGAGAGTGGCTGGTGAGCATATTTCATCCGCCTCCTGCATTGAGAGAGAGAGAGAGAGAGAGAGAGAGAGAGAGAGAGAGATTTGTAGTCTTTTGAAATCTGCTTCTTAATGGCGTGTTATTTTTGCAATAATTGTTTGAAGAATTTGGGCTGGGGAATTTACTAGTTGTTTGGAAAATGTGAACCAATAGGCGGAGGTGAACTATTTGGGGCAGCTTTCTCATCCCAACCTTGTGAAGCTTATTGGATTCTGTCTGGAGGATGAGCATCGGCTACTGGTTTATGAGTGCATGGCTCGAGGAAGCTTGGAAAACCATTTATTTAGAAGTATGTTCTCTTTATGCTGTATGATTTTCTTTGAAACTAAATTCCTGCCTAAGTAAGAGCCTTTCAGGTCTGAAGCCTTGAGAGGTCTTGAAGTTCAACTTCTGAAAGTTTCTTGAAAATTGTTATTTTCAAGAAAAGAAAGTTGAGTAAATTGTTTACTATCACTTATCTCAGAGGAGGGGTTCAACTTGTATACTTGTTTTTTGGTGAAAGAAAGAGAAAAATACAAGCCATCTGACCTAAACTTTTCTGAAAATTAGATAAGAAGATGATGAACATTAGTTAAAACTTTTTTCTCCCCTGTTTTGTTTGTATTCTTATTTCTCTTCCATGTTTTGCTATGCATGTGCAGGAGGTTCTTATTTCCAACCACTCTCTTGGATGCTTAGGATGAAGGTCGCTTTTGGAGCCGCAAAGGGGCTTGCATATTTACACTGTGCTGAAACAAGGATTATATATCGTGATTTCAAAGCATCTAATGTGCTTCTTGATTCGGTATGTGGACACCTGATTGACTCAAAACTCTTTTTTGTCCCTAGAATTTGATAGTAGAGTCAAGAAGTAAATCTCACAATTTTTTTTTTTTGCAGAACTATAATGCAAAGATTTCTGACTTTGGATTGGCTAAGGATGGCCCAACTGGTGAAAACACACACGTATCGACCCGAGTGATGGGGACCTACGGTTATGCTGCTCCAGAGTATCTTGCCACAGGTATATTCCATGCCAATATAATTCTCCTTCCCATTTAAGTATGTTTGTGTTTTTGTGTCTATGAGAGAGAGCGCTAATGTTGTATTGGATACTAGAAACCACATGTATTGTTATATATGTTACATCTGAGTTCTCCATGTAATCTTGTTTGTCAATAGCTGAAAATCATCCAGTAGATTTGCTCCTGACGATTATCAATTCTTACCGTCTTTGATCTTTATACATTTGAAGGTCCCCTGCTGAATTCTCGTTTATATAATTGCAGGGCATTTGACAACCAGAAGTGATGTGTATAGTTTTGGAGTAGTCCTGCTCGAGATGCTATCAGGCCGAAGAGCACTCGACAAGAACCGCCCTACTGGTGAGCACAACCTAGTCGAATGGGCAAAACCCTACCTATCCAACAAACGCAAACTCTTCCGAGTCATGGATAGTCGAATAGAGGGTCAGTATTCATTAAAAATAGCCCAAAAAGCTGCTGCTCTTGCTCTACAATGCCTCTCCAGTGAACCCAAGTACAGGCCTTCTATGAAAGAGGTTGTCGAGGTGCTTGAACAACTTCAAGAATCAAAGGATGCACCAAGAACCTTTCAACCCGAGCCCCAAAGTATGCCTACAAGGAATGGGTCAAGTAGACCTAATGGCACTGTTTCTTATCCTAGGCCTTCGGCTTCGCCCCTTTACTCGTAATGAGAGGAACAAGGAACTATCCAAGGGAAAGAATGAAGAAGTTTCTCTCTTTGTGATGAGGCGGCTTGAGATGCTGAGCTCTTCGCTAGGAGCTTGAGTCTGCACATACTGGCGGTTGCTGTATAGTCTGTATTTTTTTTGTCTGATAAAATTTGATTTAATTTTATTTTTATGTTTGGATCATGGGTTTGAATTGCCCTTTTCCACGGGATGATTGCTAACCCAAGGTTGAAAGGTGAAGGTATTTCCTTGTCTGATGTTGCCTCCTTTTAGTGTAAGTTTTTATTCACCTCTGTAAAACTTACCGAGAGGAAGATGATTCCTCTGCATGTCTTTTTATTTGCAGGTGTTTGTAAGCTTTTTGTTGTGTAGTTTTCTACTTCTTTTAGAGGGAAATAGAGTTGAAGCCTGGTTTTTTCTTTTTCGCTCACGAGCATTTTTTTTTTTTAATTTGATTAATGTGTAATTCATTTGGTTCATGATTTGTACCATGTGTTTATATGTTACTGGCAAAAGAGCTTAAGTTTTGGGATCCAAATATCAGCACTGATTATTCAAAAAAGAAAAAAAATAAAAATTTGTTTTTTAAATTCTGTAACGCTTAGATCTCAAGTTAGTATTCAGTGTGCTTTTAGAAACATTATTTGTCGACACTATTTGAAGGTAGGTTCTAATTGGATTGTTTAGAACCTCAAACCACGCCCCTATTTATAAGAGGTTAGTCATTAAGTTGAAGATGTTACCTCCTGAAATTTGCAGTCCCAGAAAACACTCAACAAGTATGCTCCCCTGGGTGCACAAAATCTTTTAGCTTCTTACTTAGTAGTGGTTTCTCTTGCTTTGCCCCTCACCCCGCGTTTTGTGTAATGGGCTCCATCTTGATTGGTCCCCCACTTGTCCTCCATTTGTGAAATATGTGTCTTCTTCTTTTCTCTTTCTGGTGTTTATGAGCTCGCTGTCAACCACTTTCTACTCGTTTATGCTGTGTATCCGATACAAGAAAAGTATACAAAGTGGACATGGACGTTTTTTTTTTTTTGGCATAAGGAGGCCATCATTCTTGTGAATCTTTTTTTTTTTTTGCATAAGGAGGTCACCATTCTTGTGAATCATTTATATAT